AATCTGCTCCACTGACGCCCCTCGCCGATAGACAGGTACACTCCGATGTATATACTTTTTTATTCAAATATACGAGGATGATATTTTCACTTTTATTTGGTATGCATTTGTAGCAACAGCATGATAACATTTATTTGTTTTTATTTGCGTTTTATATTCATATTGATAATTCACGTTTTGTCTTGGATAATAAAGCACGGTTATGCATAATAAATTGTATGCATAATAAATATTCACTATCACTGTATGAGGTAAGAATCAACAGCTTTTTATCACATTTACACAACACTTTATGAATACAAGTTATGAACAAATCTTAAATATGTTAGGGAATGTGTTTACTTTTTTAGTTTTGATTTTGAGCAGCAAATTTGGAGTTACATATTGGTGCTCACCAGGAATGCATAGGCAAAATTGCACAAATTTTCACTTGAAAGAATAGTGGCGATCTTGGGATTTTTTTCTGTTCAATTTTCAAACTGTGTAAATTTAATACACTTCATCTTCAGCATGTTTAGTGCCACTTTTGTAAGTAACCACGCCCCGTCCCGGCCACGCCCCCGTCCAGGCCACGCCCCTTCCGCTTTTTTCATCACTCGCCATTGCCATGTATGTAACTTCTAAAATGAGTTCTTGTCAGCTGAAATGCTTAAAAATGAATAGCTCCGCTTAAACACTTCAGTGGCTGGAATATATATCACTAGGCCGTCATGGAGCTTTTTCAAGCCGAGACAACTCGTCCCCATTAAAAAAAAACAACTCTAAATCTAATCTCCGGCATGATTGTGGCATATCAAACAAAACTTCTATCCCTGCATGTATGCATTATGTATTAAAGTAGTTGAGGATTCTATTTTTATCATAAATTTATTACTTTTTATTGAAAAAAGACAACTGGTTAATTCCTATGACATTAATAATGATTTTATCTTGTCACTTTTTTAGGCCTCGTACCGGTTGTCCCCTCGGGGCACGTGTCAGAGGGTTCGTACTTTTCCGTGCTGTTTCGGCTCTTTCCGCTGTCCTCATGGCTGTTCCCTAGCGTCGGCCTTCCTCCTCCCTTCTCTCGCCGTGTTGGAAAATGGCTGTGCAGGGGAGCTGGGAGTTTTCAACGGGAAAAGAAAAGAAGGCGAAGTGAAAAAAAAGAATAGCTTTCCGCAAGTTCCGTGCACCATTGGAAGCTGCTGTGCAATTTTCCCCGACATTGACCGACTCCTGCCATTTTGTAGTTTCGAGCGACGCCACTAAAAAGTGAGAAGACTCAAGAAATATCCACGGGTGAGTCCCCCCCACCCCCCAACTTATTGCACATTTCCAGGACGGCGAGGCAGCCACTGTAACTTACTGGGAAATGGTGGAAGCCTCAAATCGCGCTTGCCGACACCAATTTCCTTTTACCACATTTTTAATGTCCGTTTTAAGGCGAAAGCTTATATTTTTAAATGTCACTTGACCAGTAAATGTTGCGAGCCGCCTCGCTTCACTAAGTGTAACAAAGTTACGTCGTGTCTTTTTTATTTCGTAAAAGGTGCTTTCTCTGAGTCGTGTTTAGTTGCTTTTTGAATTGATTTAGTGGACAAACGACCAATTGTTGTCAGTTGTTTTTTTTCTTTATTACTCCTTTAAAATCAAACTGGTTAAACCCTTTTAATTGGACGGTCTACAAGTTAAATGAAAACCAATTTAGTGTGTGGAAACAACCCGTTCTTCTAAATTTGCTGCACATTTATTGAATTTAAAAGTTAAATACACCTGAACGGTACTTAAGCAGTGATTCAAATGCACCAGTCGTGTTACCCCCACCACACTTTGAAAATAACTGCATCAAGGCCGAATATTAAATAGCTCTGCAGTGCACAGAGGTGGCAAAAGTATTACCACTCTGTGCTTAAGTAGAAGTACAGATACTCGTCTTAAAAACAGACCAGGAAAAGTAAACTCACTGATTTAACTCCTACTTAAAGGAGAAGTCAAGTGAACAATGTTCTTTACAATATGTTTTATGCGCCCCCACTCGTCTAATCTCAGTCGCTATGTTGATGAATATTGCATTTTTGGGATATGTGCTGGGCACTCCACTTGTTTTTATCCATCTCAGGGGGCAGCCATTTAGTCTTCCATGGCCACTTGCTGTCGACTGAAAATGACATCACAGTGCCTAAGGGCTCAGGTAACGACCTGCTTTCTGGGTTTGGTCATGTCATCTTTGGAACCTGAGCCCTGATGCACTGTGGTATCATTTTCAAATGATGTCATGTTTTGGAATATTGGGCTGGAAATTATTATTATTATTTTTTGACCAGAGTTATTGACAAATTATTGGTCATCTATTATTATTATAATCGTTAGTTGCTGCCATAAAGTAAACCATGAAATGTCAGCGAGCATAATGCTAAACGATAGTACAAAAACAGATGGGCAAACAGAAATTAGCATAGGTGTGACAGTTATTATAACCATTCGAACAACCGCTTTTTCAACATGCATTGAGCAGCAATAAAGACAGCCATCCATCCAGCCTTCAATTCATTTTCAACAGCAGCTAATCCTGAACAGGGTCACGGGGAGTGCAGGAGCCTATCTCAGCTGACTTTGGGCGTAAGGCAGACTACACCCTCAACCTATCCCAAACTCCCCGCACACACCTAAGGCGAGTGGACCACTACACCTTCAGCGACTCATATACAAGCATCCAACAATAGTCACAGGCATATACTATATTCTGTCTGCTTTGTGGAAACAACTATTACGGGAGCTTAGTAGGGGACCTTCTCTGCTTCTTCTCCTTGGTTTAAATTACACTCCATGTCATCACCTTCCTGAAATACTGGCCATTTTTTTTTCAGAAAACATGAAAATCTGAAAAAATTACTAATTGTATGATATTTATTAATAGTTTGATTTCAAAGGTACAGTGAAACTGCTCTCCAACGAAATCATGTTTGCAGCAAGAAATTTTTCACAACAGTAGGTTTTTCACTGTAGCAAATTTGATATCAGATGTAAACACACACACACACACACACACACACACACACACACACACACACATATATACACCCACAAACGTTTGTGTACACGCACACACAAACGTATGTGTACTCTTTATATTTATTCCAATAGGCCACATATGTCAAAGTGCCGGCCCGCGGGCCAAATCCGGCCCGCGAGAATGTTTTCAGTGGCCCCTGGGATGATATTGATTTATTATTAGAACCGACCCGCGGACTGCAGCAAGCCGAGAGCCCGCAGATCTTTTACACGCACCAAAACTACATTTCCCACAATGCAACGGTGACGCGCCAAGCAGTCGGCCGCTTTATTTAAATATTTATTCGTCTCGCAGTCGTTCCCATAACAGTGACATTAGCTTTCAGATACCCATCAAAAATGGCAAAAAAAAAAAAGTGGACACTGAGAACCGGGGGTTTCAAACAAGGTGAGAGTCGAAGAACATGTTCATGGACGTAGCTGGAAAACCTGTGTGTCTTCTGTGTGGAGAAAGTGTGGCGCGATTGAAATAGTGTAATCTGAGACGACATCATGAAACGAAACACGCAAACAAGAACATGGACATGGAGGGGGAAGGGGGATTTCATTAAAAACGGTATACTTAAAGTTTGTGACGAAGTTTACCCCGAAAAAAAGCAACTCTTTTTAAACGTGAGCATTAGCAGAAACACAATGGCAGTGTTTCTGCAAAGATACGGCAGTGCGTGCTGCACAGTTTGCCCGTTTCCTCCCCGACACA